ATAGGACATATTTTATGTTTAAAAATGTATTTTTGTGTCGACCACTCATGTTCAAGGACCTAACAGTACAGCCTAAAGCAGGCGTGGGCGAACTTTTTGACTCGCGGGCCACAATTGTACGTAAAAGTCATGCATAAAGGATAAAATTCTTTTATCATTTTCTACCCCATCTATTGGGAAAACGTGGGTATTGCAGGGAAAATGTAGTAGTATAATGATAATGTAAATAAATTATATTATTTGAAAGAATTTAGCGGGCCGGATACAAAAGCTGAACAGGCCGCATCCGGCCCCCGGGCCTTAGTTTGCCCATGCCTGGTCTACAGCCATCCAGCCATGAATCAATTAATATCCTCTGCAGAACAACGTCACGATTTGGTCTTTGATTTTTGTCCCGCTGCTTTCTAATTGTCAGAGCAGCATCTGCACAGAAAGAAATAAAACACGCTCCGTCCTCGACTCCAAACTCATTCAAGCACTAAATAAACAACCCTTAATCCAGGCCCGCCTAATCCGACCGAGGCCCCGTTTGAATCCCGCTTGAAAGCTCACTTCCTGCGGCTCGTCCGCAGCAACCCTCGCCCCGTGACACAGATGAAGCGTTTAACTCCCCCGTCTACTGTCCCAGCAGGGACAGGCCCGGATTAATGAGCTCCCTGTCCACTATGGAGTGATCCATTACTTCCTGTAATTATAAATAATAATCTTGATTATTACGCTGGTTAGTCAGAGAGCGGCAGAGACGGATGTGGCAGAGATTGGACTCATCATTTTTCCTTCTTCACTCTCCTCCTGCCCTGGCATTAGACTAGCTGTCGACTCAAATGATGGCAGGTCTCAAATCTTCCTGGACTCTGTGTTTGATGTTAGATAGAGGTTCAGGAGAGGGCTGGTGTTTTTGTTTTTGTTTTGTTTTTTATACTGTGTGATGGTTATAACCAGCAATGGGAAGGGGGGGAAAACTGATCCAGACACTTAACCAAACATCATATTTACTGTATGTTCACTAAACTGATCAATTACTAGTTTTGCTTTATGTTCCTTACCAACGACCAAAGAGAAACTAATTTTATAATTTTTTTAAAATATTTTAATAATTGGAATTAAAAGATATTTTAGATATATGTAACTCACATAAGTGTAAAAAAAAAAGTGTGACGGAGTGAATCAACAGTTTCTTTGTGCTGTGTTTTCTCCATAGGCTACAGTGCAGCAGAGTAAGTGATTCTCACTTTAGCTCTTTTGGAAGTAAGAGTTCATAAATATGTTCAAGTCATTTAGACTCTGCTAATACAAAGAGTATGGTAACACTTTTCAACGTACCATCGGTATCACTGTTGGATCAACACCTCCCATTCTGTAAAATCACTGATTGTGGCTTTTGACTTCACTTCCTACATCAAGACTTCCCCCTTGTTTCTCACTACGTATTTCTTTTGTTTGCTGAGCAGATGTTTACCTGCAGTCCCTGACCGTCCACCGTGACAGAGTTTGCTCTCTGCATCTTCCCTCGACTGGACTGACTGGAGCGAGAGTCCTTCCTCAGCGTCGTCTGCCGCTCCTTGGAGTCACGGGCAAAACAAGGATGTTTACATTTCAATCAAATATTTAACCGTTCTCTGCTTGGGGCTGTAAAACTGGTCAGTATGAGTATGAAATTATAAAAAAATTAACAAAAAATCAACTTGTCATAATTATACATGAATTATTTATTTGAATAAAATAGTTTAATTGATCTGGGACAGTAATTACCACATAAGGGTTGTGGCCCAATTATGGTCCAAAAGTTGTTTAAGAATTGGACCATAAAAATATATAAGAATTAAGAATGTAAAAAATGTATAATTGCAATATAAAACAGAACATCTAAAAATATCTTTGGGTAGCCTGAGGGCTAGCCTTAGCTTAATTGTAGTAAACTTTTGATTTTCTTTCGGCTAACTTTTAACTATCGTAACTAGGTTTGCGTGTGACACAAGCCTGGCTGGACATTTTCTCTGCTCTAACAAGTGGATTTCACCTGCAGTGGATCAATAAAGTTTCATTTTTGTCTCTGAGAAAACAGGCGGTGGTGTCAAACAAGGTGCACCAGTGGGACCCCAGTCCTGTGTCTTACCAGAACAACGGGGCAGATGGAGTTGGGGGGTAGGATGTGGTCCTTCAGGGGTCCACAGTCACACTCAGGTTTGACGTGGGAGGCACACTTGTTATGAAGCTAAACAGAGAGACAGGAGAACTGGTGTTAATGACAGCAGCGGAATCACCTACATTTCCAGCTCACTCTATGCGTTTGCATCGAATCTGGCAACTCTCCGATGCCTAAGTGTAAATTGGCGGCACGGTCTTCGACGACATCAGCGAAAGTGCCAAAAAAAAAAAGTCTAAACAACAATAATCAGCAGGAGTATAATGAGGAGTGGGTTGCCTCTCCGCGGGTGGCGGCCTCGTACCGTGATCTGACACCAGACGCAGTGCAGCCCAGTCAGGCCCTGGTAACACTTAATGGTTTTGTGACACTTGTCACACTTGGTGGGGCAGTTCCCTTCCACCCAGAAATGATGCATTACCTGTGGAGAGACAGGGGGAGAGGCAGTGGGGGGAGGCAGCAGAGAGACGAGGAGGAGAGAAGGTGAGAAAACAAGACAAACAAGAGGGGAAAACAAAGAAAACAAATGTCACACGGCAATTAAAGAAAGCAACACGGAAATGAAAAAAAAAGAAAAAAAACCTGACGCTGGAGAAAGCAACACGGAAATGAAAAAAAAAAGAAAAAGCTGACGCTGAAGATAAAGACTCACTTATTTACTGTTATTTACCGACATTTGAATTAGAAAAGGAACTAGTTATGCCTGTAGAATCTGTTCAATATTTAATAGCATCCATAGCAGCTGTCAATCAAATGCAGTAGCCAATCAGATCAATTCGCTTTTTTAGCAGAACATCACAAAACACATTTGTCTCAGTGGACATAAGTGTTTTAAAATTAGAATTTAAATTACTTAATATTCATGTAACGGGGGAAAAAAGTGGAGGAACGCATATACAGTCAATGAGTTTATATTTTCAATACAAAAAAAACAGAATAAGTTTCAAAGATAATATTGAAAAGCAAATTAATTCACCCACTCATCAAGCACTTCGCAGCCTCTCTCTGTCTGTACGTGATTCTAACTTATGCTACAACGACGACATTGGACTTGTGACTGAGCTAACGAGGACATCTGAAAGAAATAACTTCTGATGTCACATAATGAGCGTAGCATTAGCCTCAATCTAATAAGACAATCTTTACAAGCTGTCACTTTTCAAATCAACAAAGCACTCCTGGAGCGTGTCAGGTTAGGCAACCTCATTCTGCAATCTGCTTCTGCAGCAGAGGTAGCTTCATCCATAATTTATGTATGGTCTAGAAGGAAAAAAAAAAGAAAAAAAAGAGAGAGACGATACACTGAATGCTTTTGTGTCTCTAAACACTTCTCTCGTCTTTCTCATTAGCGACGCTCAGCAGCAATTTGACTTGTGTTAATTTTATTAGACAATAAACAAACTCTCATCCCTAAGCTCCCGAGACGAGTCTGCGTGACCCGAACGTGCCGCCTGAGGAACACTTCGATCTGACACACCTCTGTGTTTTTCTTGGACTTGACATAGGTTTTGATGCACGACGGTGGAGCCCGAGCCACGCAGCGCTCGTGTACCGTGTACTTGCAGACTGGGGAGAGAAGAAGAAAAACGTTTCAACAACAACAAAAAAAAAAATACAAGTTTATTTGACATTCACAGGTGTGTCTTTTTATGTTAAGAAAAAAAAAAAGATGGCTAACTCAGGTTCCGTATGCTTGGGCTACAAAATGTTACATTTGATTATCTGCAAGCTAATGACTTAGGAAAATAATTGTTGTTCTTGAGAAACAAACATAACAGGATAGTTAAAAATACTTGGGTTTTTTTTCAATTGGGCCGTCTCTAGTGTGGTACTGTCAAAGTTTCGTATTTATAAAATGATTATTTGAATTTGCGTCAGACATAATGCTCTTAGTGGGAAATTACAGAAAGATTTTTTCATTCTAAAAACACTGGTGCACAATGTTGTGGCTAATTTAGAGCAACTTTCTGCTTATTTTTTAGCTGTTTATGGGTATATTGTTAGCCACGATTCACAAGTTCTGACGCCAAAATAAAAAAAAAAGTCTGTTACCTGTTGGCTAAATAATGACTATTGTAGAATAACAGGATGTTTTCGAATGTTTTCTGTCTGAGTGAGTGTGTGTGTGCGTGTGTGTGTGCGTTGCTCTCGGTCTTACAGGAGCAGCAGAGTCCTTGTTTTCCCAGTCCGATCAGCATGTTCAGACACAGGTTGCAGTAGGCTGGTTTGTTGAAGTGCTTCAGTCTCCACACGTGCTGTCCGTCATCTTTCACGTTCTGCACAAACACCACAACGACATTATTTACTTTTTCTTATTATTGACGGGTTTTTTTTCTCCAAAAAGGAAACTTGAGTAACGAACACTTCCAAAACTCACGTTCTGCACAAACACCACAACGACGTTATTGACTTTTTCTTATTATTGATGGGTTTTTTTTTCTCCAAAAAGGAAACTTAAGTAACAAACACTTCCAAAAATAAATATTTATTAAAGGTGTACCCATATCTTCAGTTAATAACTGAGAGTACACCTGCATTTATCTTTCCACTAATATTGTCAGAGTTGGGGTAGGGCGCTGTATTTCCTCTGTTGTAGCAATTAAGTGGAAATTGGTCATATGCTGCCACCTAGTGGTCATATAACGAAATGCACGTTCAAAAAGTGACGGATCATCAAAGAGATTCCGTTGGATTTACTTTTATTTTTCTTGAAATTAAACTTGTCTACCAACTACCAGTTTTTATTTTCCAAGTCAAGTGCTATTTTGTTTATTTCTACTTATTGTTTAGATTCTGTCTACCAACTACCAGTTTTTATTTTCAAGTGCTATTTTGTTTATTTCTAGTTATTGTTTAGATTATTTTCTTATATGTTGGTGTTCTTGTAGCTCAGTCATGGATGCTGAGTTGTTCTTTTTTACAGATTCTGTTCTAGTTCTTATTCCATCTTTAGTTGTACTTCGTATTGCTCTCATAAACCTTGCATATCTATTTTCATAGTATTATATGTAATGAATTGTAGTTTTTCCTGCTCTCTCGCTTACTGTCTCCAGGCCAAGCAGTACTAGCAACGGAATGGTGGTCATTCCCCCTTGGATCCATTCTTCCAGGGACACAGTGCCATCGTGATCATAATCAATTTCCTCCATCATTTCCTGTAGAATCTGCATAGCAACAAAAAAACACAATATAGTAAATAAAAATAAAGACTTTAATTCCAATATTTTTCATTGCGTTCATTCGATAGAATTCCAATTTATCCCTCACTGGTTTCAGTTCGGTCACATCCCACTCCAGGTACTCAGCCACGTGCATCATCTGGGATATAATGTGCTCGAGCTCCTGCGGCGACAAGAAACCCACAGTGGGTCATTAACGGTCTCAAAAATCACTGTGTTTTTACCTTCTCCGTGGAGATCGACCTCACTTATGTCTGTGGCCTGAATAGAAGATAAACAGTGAGTAATAACAGGTTAGAAATGTCCCTCCACTGCACACGAAGAACCAAACAAAGGCAGCGTGGGAAGAGGCTCTGCAGCTGATGCTTTGATTACAGTGATCGGGTTTTTAACAGGGTGGGCCTGGCATTATCATCCAGGGTCAGACTGAATCACTGTGCTGCGTTCTTAAGTCGGCACCACTGAAAGGGCAGTTTACATCGAAGAGATCAATATTGACGGTTACACTGGACTTATTTAGCCCTTGGTTCTGCACGGTTTTTGGGGCTAAACATGTATGTGTTTAAAATATGCCATTAATTATTTTGTTTAATTCCTTTTTATTGACCTGAGAATCAACTCTCCCTATTTTCTGTTTTCATGTGCTGTCGGGTTTGAAAGCCCAATTTGAAAAGATACTGAATACAACACAATCATTTATTGTTGTTTTGCAATAATAGTACATACATATATACAGACTTATATACACTATAACAGCTACATACATATATACATACTTATATACACTATAACAGGTTTATTGGAAATAGGTGAGTATCATGACTACGTGTAAAGAACATCCCTAATTCCCTATTCTCAAGACAAAAAAAAAATCACAGGGTAGCTGTGAATTAGTCATGGTGAATCATTGACCAGGAGAAGAAAATCCATATCCCTAATGTGACAACAACAAAAAGATCTGTATAGAGACAAACAAATAACAGCAGGTTGATGTGTTTAACACATGTTTTACTCGTGACTAATCCAAATGATGTATTTATTAATGTCAGGAAATGACAAAAAAAAAAGCAAAAACAAAACATGTTGAAAGTTGCTTTCCAAGCTTCGACAAAACTGTTGCCCTCACGTATTGTATTGTATTGTATTGTATTTTGGAGATTGGTTTTAAGCTCGAGGTGCTTTGGTGAAAAGTAACCACTATGCCGCAAACATTATATTGCAACGTGCTGCAGTTGTGCATTAAAACAACAGTTAATGTTGTATTTTTTGGATACAGACAAACTGCAGGTATACAAAGTACTGCACTTTGCAGCAATAATAATAAGAATTACAATAAGAATAGGTGCATGTGTTGTGCTCCCAATCCAAGATTTAAAGCAATGCCGTATTATTTAGACCAAAGCCTCAAGATTTGACAGCAGATATAATAAAAGATGTAGCAAAACACACGATAAAATAAACTGTAATTTCTTTTATCTTTTTTTTTTTGTTTTATTTAAATTTTAATTGTATTTTTATTGTCTGCAAAAGACTGAAAATTCCCTTTGGGTAAAAGCATAATCAGTATTAAAATAGGCGCAGATAGATGGAGGGTTTGTGTGAACTTTGATAAATGACATGCATAAAGGCTAAAATGCTAAAAGATTTAAACTTTTTCAAAGGCATTTAATGGAGGAATATGGGTATTGCAGGGAAAAGGCAGAAGTGTAATGATAACATAAATTATTAATAAATGCTAATTAAGTTTAGCAGGCCGGAATAAAAAGCCAAAATGGCCGCATCTGGCCCCCAGACCGTAGTTTGCCCATGGTATAAAAACATTTCTTAAAGTTTTACATAGAGTATTTTTATAACACAAGTAACCCATGGTATAACAAATATGAATAAACACATAAATGTATCAATAAATGAATACACCAATATAGAAATGAATGAATTAATACATAAATAAAAATACCACTTGGTGGCAGAATAAATCTTATTTACGTTTTTCTTTAACAAAGTATGTGTATCTAAAAAATCTCGTAAGTAATGAAAAAAGCAAAAAAAAATGTTTAAAAAAAATGAATTAACAAAGAAAATAAAAAGTAAAAAGATAGATAGATATATAGCTAAAAAATATTAAAAATATAATTAATAATTGTATCAAGTTCAGCCCAGGAGCTGTGGACTACATGTAATCACACACACACAAAAATAAAAAAAGATATTTACCGAACTGTCCAAGGAGCCATTTCCATCTGTGTCATAGAGACGAAACATAACTGTAAAGACATAAAAACGTATATTTATTATGATGTTGTTTTTGGTAAATACAAATTCTCTACCAGGGTCAGAAACATTTTTTATTACTTTGTCAGGAATGCTGAGAGAATAATAAAAATAAATAATTAATGAACTTTTAGTTTATATCAACGTATTTTGTCATGCTTACATATTTTTGTATTTTTATTTCTGTTACATTTTCCACATTAAATAACATTGACAAAAAATGTTGGAAAATCTTAAGCCCAACACAATGAGTTCTGAATTACACGTGTTTAACAACATGTAGATCAAAATACATCTTAGTTCAAAATAGCCACTTTCAAAGCCTAAATGTGTAACAATAACTTCATGTGATTGCAGTAATTGCTTGCAGGTTCATAACAACAAAAGTCTCCAGGACATCTGTCCTCCTTGATAAAAGCTTCCCGTTTCGATTGAAGGTTTTCTTGCTTTGACCTTTTTCTTGAATCTGACCTTAAATTCTCATAAAAACGGGGCTGAAATCTAGACCCTATTGATAAGTTCAACACTCCCCCAGGCCAAAATCCTCAGCTGACTGCTTGTGATTCTCTTCTTGAAGTCTTGAAATACTTCTTTACGTTAGGGGTCATGGTGTTCTCATAGTACCAGTAAAGCTCAGTTTTTGTTCCATTTCCCCAAAGAGTAAAAATGTGGAATGTCATAATACACAACAACATATCTACAACCCATACATACACGCACGCGCGCACACACAGGCATATTATCAGCCACCTATACCCAAAGGACAAGGGGAGGATTATTACACAAACAAGGTACAATTGTTTGAGCAATTTACCAACTAACCACTAGATGGCAGTATTCTACATGATGTCGACATGGAAACTAGGTAAAGAAAAAAGTCATCGGTTGTTAAATATAGAAATACACGTATGCAACTACACGTAAACAAACATAACCACAGCGGTGTCATCCTTCACACGTATTCATACATTATTTCACTAAGTTGCAGTTCCACAGTGCATTATGGGAACTGATATGAATCATAGATGCATTTGAAATACATGAGGGTACCTTATGATGCGAAATGTCCCCATTACATAAGTCCGTAAACAGCCTTGTGTCCCCAAAGTAAACACACACACACACACACAAACACGCAAAGCTAATACTAAATTATTCAGTCACTCCAGCGTTTAACCGCATAAATAAATAATGTTGTATTATAAATTAAATCAAGATATGTGAGAACACAGTATTTATGTGTATCAACACAACGCAAACACCCACAAGCCAGATGCTAACACAAAGAAGAATGACAGTATGCTTTCAAAGGCTTAAATCCAAGTGAGGCTAACAATGCTACAATTTTAACTTCTTTGACTATAAGTTAGCAGTTGTACTAGTTTTAGGGAGAACTAATTAATGCTCAAGCTGTCTTTTGGCCATTTTTTAAGGCAAACATTATCTTAGGTTTTACAGCAAGTACTGAATTCTTACCTGCAGCTAACGTTAGCTATTTTATTTTTTATTCACTTTAATGTTAGTGAAATATTTTTATCATATTTATAGCTTAATGTTTTAGCTATATTTGTTAAGCTATAATTTTGTATTCAACTTCTCATTTTGAATTTGCTTCGGCTAGCCTTAGCTTCTTTGCTAAGATTAGCTTTTTTTTTACATTGTATATATACCTTTAACTAACCAATAATAATAATAATAATAATAATAATAACCTGACACTCACACTCCAGCTTGTCCTCTGGACGTCCCCCTTCCAGCAGTGACAGGTAACATACAATGTCTTTTAGCTGCACTGTGTTCAGAGGTTGGGGCAGTGTGGGTGTCTTCAGTGGCGTGGAGCTACTTTTGATCAGCTTCAAACCTGTGGGCACACAAAAGGTCACAAGTTAGCCAAACAACCAACCTTAAACTCATTCACTTAGCTCACATTTTTTAGCAACTGAAGCCGGGCTTATCTGAACAAAGTGATGGAGCATTAGCATCCTTAGCACCTCACATAAAAAGAATTGTGATATTTATCGTTCTCTGAATGAATGTTGAGGTGGGATTTCTAGTTTTCAGTCATAAAAGGGTCCTTAACAAGACATATTATGTTATTAATTTATGTTATCTATTATATTACACTAAATAAGTGACAATGTTTTTCATTTTGGATTTTTTTTAGAAATCTTTGAGTTTTAGGGAGAACTAATTAATGCTCATGTTGTCTTTTGGCCACGTTAGCTATTTTATCTTTTATTTACTTTAATGTTAGTAAAATATTTTTGTCACATTTTTAGCTTAATGCTTTAGCTTTGTTTGTTAAGCTATAATTTTGTATTCAACTTCTCATTTTGAATTTGCTTCGGCTAGCCTTAGCTTCTTTGCTAAGATTAGCTTTTTTTTTACATTGTATATATACCTTTAACTAACCAATAATAATAATAATAATAATAATAATAACCTGACACTCACACTCCAGCTTGTCCTCTGGACGTCCCCCTTCCAGCAGTGACAGGTAACATACAATGTCTTTTAGCTGCACTGTGTTCAGAGGTTGGGGCAGTGTGGGTGTCTTCAGTGGCGTGGAGCTACTTTTGATCAGCTTCAAACCTGTGGGCACACAAAAGGTCACAAATTAGCCAAACAACCAACCTTAAATTCATTCACTTAGCCCACATGCTCTGTTTTCTTTTTAGGATTTATGATTTTAGCAACTGAAGCCGGGCTTATCTGAACAAAGTGATGGAGCGTTAGCATCCTTAGCACCTTACATAAAAAAAAAATACTGGCTATATAAGTGACAGGTATTTGCTCTGAGAGTTTCCTATTCCTTTAATACAGCTGTAAAGGGTGATTGCATACAGTAAGGGCAAAATCTGTGCTATATTTAGTCTATTTATTTATATAAGTGTGTTTATATACAATATATATGTGGATAAATATATATACTGGTAAATATATATAAATATGTATATGCATATATATATTTTTGTGGTCTGTGTGGTCAGATTGTGTCACTGAGGTCAATGTGAATACCTGATCATAAAGAAAAGAATTACACCCATGTGATATTGTGATATTTATCGTTTTCTGAATGAATGTTGAGCGGGAATTCATTTTTTTTAGAAATATCTTAAAAACAGTCTTACCAGAGACCCTGGATTTATCTGAACCCGAGGCAGTGGGTTTTGGCTCCTTGTTGCTGAAGGACATGAAGAGATGCTGACAGAACTCCTCGGGAAGTTCACTCTCTAGGAATGTCTGCATGAAGAGCTTAAATCCTTCAAAGTCAATCTCCTAAGGACAGAAAAAAAATTACACAATTCTACTTTTTAATACTATTTCGCCTTGGAAAGAGCACTTTCAAATGCCCATTGTCAGCATTCCAAAAAAACTACTTATAATTTAAATAAATATTATATAGGTTATATCACTGTGAGAAACTAAACGTAACAATCGTAATGATCATGCAAGAGATCACAGCACAACAGGAGAAGAAACAGACGTATCAGTTACCTGGTTGAGGATCTCCTGCTTCTGTGATAAGCAGCAGTTTTTAAAAACAAATAACACATTTACAGATGTGCGATGAAATATTCACATTTTATTACTATCTGTCCATCTGTCTATCTATCTATCTATCTATCTATCTATCTATCTATCTATCTATCTATCTTGATGTGAAGTGAATGGATGGTTGTTTTGTTTTCAGATAACAGTGTATTTTACAGAACCACTAAACCACAAACATTGGGTTTGGTTAAAAACAATTCCATATCTCTAAGTGATGCTGGATCCCTGAATTGACAGATATTACTTAATATTGGTATTTAATAGGATGCATGGGTCACATCACATCTTTCTTTTATGCAGTCTGTGACGTTTGGTAAACACAACCTACCTCCTCTGGATTGTATTTGGCCAAAACCCCATCTCCATGGAACTCCTGCAGCACGTCCTTCAACTTTTTGGTGGAGTCTGAGCAAACACATGGGAGAAGAGAGTTACTGAACAAACACATTTATCTTTCATCAACCTTCGTACTGTGTTGAGAAAAACTTCATTGATTATGTTTACTTTGTAAATATACTCATATACTTTGTAAATATAAATATACTTGACAGTCAAAAAACAGGGCGAACCAATAACATCTTTAAGATTAGGACACTACTTCTCCAGGTGTCCTAGATCGTCTAGAACGGTGTTTCCCACAACTTTTTTTCACATACCGTCGCGACCCAAGTCAATAGACATTATTCTTAAACTAAAGATAAATGACATGTAAAAGTCATGCATAAAGGCTAAAATGCTTTTATAATTTTCTACGCCATCTATTGGGGAACGTGGGTATTGAAGGAAAGAAAGTGAACTACTTGTCATTATGACACAGCACACCACAAAATGTGACCTCTGCTTTGAACCCATCACCAAAGTG